ATCATTTCTAGTTATGAGATTTCTTGCTGCGTTTGTCTCCATTGAAAATATTCAAAGCAGTTTCCTAACATTCAGCATTTAGAAGTTTTTGCCATGTTGGCTCTTAAAATGATAAATTCATTTTTTTTTTTGCTCATTAAGAGTATTTTTAATAACAAAATACATGTAAAATTAGAATTTATTATTTCCAAAAAGTAAGCTGCCTTTATTAACCAAAGTACTTGTTTGCAGTTTTTTATCTGTGAAAATATTTTAAAGCCCTTATAAAACTTAAATTTTATTTTTTAAAAATTAACTTAAAAATTCTTGCCATGTTGCTGGGCATACCACTGCTGCCTCTGTTTGCGGTTTTCCAACTCTGTGAGAAGAGCCTGTCTGTAGGCTTCATACATTTTGACAATCTTTTCCAGTTCTTTCATGAAAAGCAACTTGACCATTCCCTGGTATGTATCCAGGTCAGCTAGCTGGAACAGTTCCCACTTCAGAATGTGGTCATATCTATTTCAAAACACAATCATACATATGTTCAGAACACATACATAAATATGTAATTAGGGCAATAAACCAGTTATTTTTATAATTGCAACTCTATTAAAACCAAACTAACCATAAGCTGTAATAAAAAATAACTGCTATTTAAATATACTATTTTTTAGAGAGATGAGAAAACTGCTAACATTATTTCATTTCATTTCAATCTTAAGAATCAATTATTCTAATATTAACAATATTAGACTGATAAACACAGATTTCAAACCACTGTGGCTCTATAATTTCTGAAGAATACATTCTATGCTATTCATAAGTACAGCCAAAGTTAATTGTCAGGAACTTAAGAATACTTTAGACCACATTGTACCTGCTAACAATACATAAAAATGTGCTAGGTCATTTGTGTCGTTAGTGTTGATAGAGCTTTTTGAGGAATGCTGTTCACTACAGCAAACAAGGAACTAAACAGAAAGATGAATGAAGAGGAACCACCATTCATGGGTTGAGTTTTCCTGATGTTGAGAATACAATATTTAAAAAAATAAAACATGGGGCCGGCCAAATGGCTCAGTTGGTTAAGAGTGCGAGCTCTGAGCAACAGTCGCTGGTTCGATCCCCATATAGGCCAGTGAGCTGCGCCCAAGCTGAGCTGCCACTAAGCTGCCAACAGGTGGCAGGATGGCTCAGCTGGTGAGAGCATGTGCTCCTAACAACAAGGTTACCGGTTCAACTCCTGCATGGGATGGTGGGGCTACGCCCATCCGCAACTAAGATTGAACACGGCACCTTGAGCTGAGTGGCCTCAAGCTGCTGTCAGGCGGCCGGATGGCGACTGGACTTGGAGCTGAGATAGCTGCGTCCTCCACAACTAAGCTTGGCTGTTCCCTTTCCCCAGTAAAGCCTTTAAAAAACAAACAAACAAACACCCATACAACAGAAAAACTCAAGCAGAAAGGAAAGCTCAAACTTTTTTCAAAACGAGAGAATAAGCAGACTGTAGAAGACTCCACAATGTGGGAAAGGACTCCTATAAGATTATGTAGGTATCTCAGAAGGCCTGCAATGGTAGGCAGATCACATATTGAGATGAAAGTATGACACAAACTACTGAAGCGGCAATTTACACTTTGAATTGAAAGACGCCTGAAGACAGCACTCCAATCCAATTTCTCATTTTACAGATGAAAAAACAGAAACCCAAAGAGGCTATATATCTCTTGTAAAATTGTTTGTAACTAAAAGATCAGAAAGGCAGAGAACTATGGACCAAGATGCTTGATTAATAGTTTTAAATGTTAATACCTACTAAGACTAGACAAAGAACTTGAACAAGATAGAGCAGGGCATATACCGATATGATATTGAAGTTTTACTTCTCAAATCATATTGCAGAGCAAACATAATAATGAGCTTTGATGATAAATTCTAGTACATTTATTTTTAATGATTGTTTATAATATTTCCTACCCAATGGTCTTTTGGTAATTCATTTACCATCTTATTCCAAAAAGATCACCTGTCTAATGTAAATTTTAAAAGGCTTTTAAAAAAGAAAAACAGTAAACAAACACTGAGCAGCCAGTGCGAGCCACGTACTGTGCTCACATAGACATACACTTCTGTATAACTTCTGTATGTACTAGAAATACCAGGAGCACAATATGTAAAGCCACAAGGTAAATATATCTTGTTGGATCCCAATTTTACTCATTTAATTAGTTAATGAGTGCTGTAAATTTACTAATAGATATACTTGGTAGAAACTATTGTCTCTTCAGTGGGAAACTCCAACTTGCCAACATAAATTGGGGAAATACTGCAAGAAATACTGAATGAGCCTCCCTGAACAAACAGTTGTAAGGTGTTTTCTAGAACCTCTGCCATTCATTAGCTTAAAATTTTACTGATTTGTGACAAATCCATAATTCCTAACAAAAAAAAAAATCTTAATCTTCCCGAGTCTGAATTCCATAGCAAAGACATTTCAGCAATGTCTACTGATTCAAGATGCTTAAATTTATGCCAGGAGGTAAACCATCAGAACATTATTATTACAGCTGATTTATCCTTTGTGTACTTTCTAGAAAGGAAAAAGGAGAGAAGAATAAATGGGTAAACATACTTGTTTTTAAGACATAAATATTCTCTATAAGCATCCAAGTTTTTAAAAAAAGGGAAAAGAGAAAAAGCTTCAGATAATTTTCTGGCTTCCCAATCACAGCATTTAGCATCAAGAATAGGATTATAATAGAGGCCACAAAATCAGAATACTTTAGAGAAAATCCTTTGGGAAGAAGAAAAAGCACTCTAAGGAAAAAGCATTGATGAGAAAAGTACGCAATGTGCCAATTTCCATTCCAAATTCTTGCCCCTGGTGTTTCTATATAGTTACTTCCCTTCTGCCTGTAATACATCCAAATATGCCTGCTTTTTTCTTTAACAAAAAGTATATAATTTCCATTCTTTCCTTCTTAACTAGCCAAATAGTCTGCTTCCCTAAGTTTAACTTTCAGCCACTTACACTCTAAATACACAAGTAAACCATTCAGAAGCTGGTTGTAAACCATTCCAGTAGCCTATGCTTATAGCACCTCTTTTGCTGTTTTTCCTAGGGCAGTATTCTATTCAAACACTATTTACAATAACCCATATATGCCAACAGCAATTGCTGTAATGCTACCAAAAGAACACACGTTCACACTCCAATGGATGCTGCCTTTAGGAGCCCAGTGCTGCTTTTCCCACCTCCAGGTATCATAATGTAGTCTAAGTCCCTTGTACCTGCCCCGATAACGGTGTGCCCACTCTTTCCACTACACTCCGAGCTGGGTCAATGGTGACACTGCAAGATCACCAAGCCATAGCAATAAAGTCCATGTCACAATGCTGTTGGCGACTGGTGTTGGGGTGTGTGTAAGGAATATTAGCAAGTTAATATATTCCTCTTTTTGTTCCAAAACCTCTTTTTGATAAGTAATTGATTCTTCATTATCTAACTCGTAGATAACAGCTCACCCTCTGTTGATAGAACAATATTAACCATGTCCATACTCTTCAGGGATAAAAATTTAGGAGCAACTAAAAAAGCAGGTTTCTAGACCTCTTAAGCTTTTTTATTTTGTTTTCTTTTTTTAAACCTCTTAAGTTTTTAAGCAATAAATAAGTACTTGCTCTCTTTTTCTAGTCTGGCCCATTCTGTGAGAATTCTTACCTATCTAAACAAACAAAAAAACAGTCTCTAGTTTCCTAAAGTTTTATAGCTAGCTCATAGAACCAGATATGAAACGGGCCATAATCTTTGGGAGTCTTNTGTTCAGCATCTTAGCTGAAGAGGGCAGTGTCACTGGCCCTCATATGTGGGATCGGAACCGGGGCCCTCTGGTGTCCCAAGCCAGTTCTTAACCATCGCGCCACTCGGCCGGCCCTTATTTTCATTTTTAAATACCCCTTTTATTATACTGCTTCCTTTGCCTATGGGTCTTCTGAATGGATAAATCAAGTATCTATAGCACCAAGTATAAAACATGAACTCAAACAAGACACATGTAGTTTCCACAAAAATATATTTAATAAGCTTGTTGTATAAAATCAAACATGTAACATTTTCAACATTTTATCAACAACTCAAACTCACTGTTACCTAACTGGGAGTGCTTTATATTTTGGAAGACTACCTAAAGTAAAAATATATTTACATATTTACAACAAATGTATATATAACTGAAGGGCTACTTCAACTAATGTTGAAATTCACAGAATTCTAGAGATTTATAGGCCAGAAGTGCCATATATAATGTGTCTGCAATCAAATGTAATGCACTAATTATGAACAATGTCTTAACTATTTAAACCAAAAGGAAAAATAACTGGGAAGGAAATATTGGGTTTTAAAGTTCTGTGACAAACTCTTAGAAGATAAAGGATATGTGAAATCAATTTATTGACCAAGATTTTTTAATGAATCTCTGATTGTCAGTTTTGGCAGTCTGTTAGGATGGCAGCATGCTATGCTATTGGGAACCCTCCATTGTCTTATCAGAGCCATGCTCCGAAATGCCATAAGAACACTGGCCAAAAGTAAGGAAGTGATGTTAGCAACTTTGAGTGCTGTACACACCTTTCCCACACAGGCTAAGGCCTTATGTCTAAATCTATTACTGAAAGATTATAGGCCCTTCACCCTTTCATACCAAAAAATACTCTCTTAACACATTTTTAAAGGGTTCTTTACATTTGGGGGGGAGGGGAACCCCCATAAATTATATATAAAAATTTATCCCAATAAAGGTCCCAAATACCATTTTATTTTTGAACTGTACACAACAATATTTACATCATCTGGTTCCAGACAATGTTCCACACTAAAGCAGTAAACATCTTTTTTT